AGTAATAGTAATAGTAATAGTAATAGTAATAGTAATAGTAATAGTAATAATAATAATAATATTAATTATAATAATAATAATAGAGTTAACACTTAATAGCCAAAGGCTAATAAGCCTGTGACACTCGGAAAATAAAATTACAAACCTAATGATAAATGAACAATACTATGAATACAAATATACAATATAATAAAAGTTAAAAACCTAAAATTATGAGAGACGCGAATAGTTGAATCACAATAATATTAAAAACTTTCACCTTACAACTTACAACTTCCAGCTTACAACTTGAAATATGAATAACGACGGGCAACGTTTCAAGTAGTAGTATTCTTGTGACTCTGTGAGTGAAATTAAGGATTTACACCACAAGTGAAGTTAAAAAATCCTCTCAAAATTGCACTAACCGTTAGGGCGAGAGTAATTTGTAAGGATTTTAAAATATCAAAATAGTCTTTAATTTCAGGAGACGTGCGGCATGCAACCAGTGGTTGAATTGTTTAATCAAATTAAACTAATTTACATCCAAGATGCAAACTTGGGGTTGTAAGGTTTTTAGGTGTTCTCTGATTAGGTGCAACTTGTCTTATTCAGTGATTGTTATTTGAAATTGTTGCGCTTGCTAATAGTAATCTATTGTATGTACTAACTTAGTTTAACGAGTACTAGCCATTAATTTGAAAATGGCCTGCGAGTAGGCTCCTTAGTAAAAAAAAAAAATGTACCTTGAAGTACAAAAGTCAAATGAAAGAGGTTTTGGCAGATCGGAATTGTGTTTCAATCACCTCTCCCTGAAAGATATTAATAAAGTGCCAAATACATGATAGAAAACCTGACAAGGGTTTCACCTCTAGCCAGTTTGAAACATGACGCGTTAATCGAAAAATGAAAAAAAAAAAGATTACATGAGAATTAGTAACTCTGTATATTATTTCCTATAAATATATCATATATATTATAAATAGAATATTTCTCATGTGCAAGATTTTTTTAGATGAGGACAATTTGCTCTTAAAATCGATTCCTTCGCACACATAAGGTCATGTGAATACCCCGTTCACACGAACTAAACTAGTTTAACTAAATCGGGTGTACGTTTTTCCAATTTGTAGATTAGGCTTTGCAGTCATTTTGAGAAGACAAATTTCAAACCATCTTGCTACCATATTTAAGTAAAACAGGTTTTTACCTGTTTATGTTGTGGGGTTTGCACGGTATGAGCAACTAATTTTTGACGTTATTAGTTGAACCACTTTTAACCATGTTTGACATGTTGGCGTGAACGGGCTATAACCCATAAGTTTCTTTTTATACTCAAGAA